GGTTAGATGAGTCAAGGTTGCTAAAAGCTAGAGAAAGAGAGAGAGAGAGAGAGAGAGAGAGAGAGAGAGAGAGAGAGAGGGGGGGCAAAAGAGATGGGACCCGAAAATTCAAGGAATACTTCTGATGTTATCAAAATACGCTGCCGGAAAAAGCTGCCTAACCCAGGGACCCGCGTAGCGTGCCGGAATTCCCCGAGGCCATTTACCAGACCTCGGAAGCACATGGCCCTCCTTTTCCGGTTAGCAACATATCCGTCTCCTATTTTGCGCTGGGCCCTCGGACACGACCCGGACATCCATTTTGCCCCAATTTATCTACGCGATCCGGCCGGGGGCCCTTTGAGGTACCCGCTTGGCTGTCCATTTTAGGGAAAATCGTGGAACTGCAAGGCTCAAAAAAAGAGATATGCCGTTAATAGAGGTATGGCTTATCGGCATTTGCTAACAGTTTTCCTAATTAGTGACAAAAATACCTGGTGCATTAATGGGCTAAAACTTTCCTTGAAAAGCCTGTCCCCAGAATCAATTGCTTCGGTTTTTCGGTTCAGAGGCTTTTTGAATTCCCGGCGCCTTTAAATAATCCAATCAATATTTATTTGCTGAAATAGAGCATTTAACGGCAGCCACAAGATAGATTTAATTCGTTAAGGGTATTCAAATTGGCAAAGAAGCAAGTTTTCCGAAATCCCTGAAAATATTCTGGGAGGGTCTTCAGCTGGTTTTTAAATTGTCTCCCCCTGATCATTTTTCGCTTATATCAAGGTAAGCTAGCTTGATGCTAGAATCAACAAGCACATACAACATTAGAGAACAGGAAGTCGGCATGACTACCTCCAGCCCGGGGAGAGTAATTCGAATCGGATGGATGGGGTGTTGCCGCGCGAGTCCTGGAAGTGAGAGTGAGTAGCTATAGGGGGATATCGAAAAGAGAAGGTAGAGGGTGCCGCATTCATCGGCACCATTCACACACACTGAGTCACACTCACTAACTCAACGGGTGAGAGAGAGGGAGAGAGAGAAAGAGAGCTACTGACAACCCTAATATCCACTCATGCGCGCAACTGGGACATCACCCTAGTGGAATCCGCTGGCTAGTGGAATTGCCGAGTACGAAGTGATGCTAGTTACGGCGGTGAATAGGGCTGGAAGCTAGGGCACCATTTTAAAGGGACTGGTAGCTATCGGTACTCCAATTTTTTTTTTGTTTCTGGGAGCTGAAAATGAATTTTTTGAGACTCGTGCTGAGGGCAGCAAGTCTACAAAGTTTGTAGCAGTGCATTTTCCACAAAATTTTTAGCCAACATAAACTCTTTTGCCGAGCTTCTGGAAAAACCGACGTGTCTGTATTTTGTAGTTCTGGAAGCGTTGTAAATTTATGAAGAGCCGCGAACTACACCAATTTCAAATTTCGGAGAAATTGGCAACTTTACATTTGCGTTCAAAGCCTGTCCTCGACTGCAACGCTCGTTTGATAGAAAAATAGATACGAGTTTGCAAAAAAGAAAACCATTGGATTAATTGAGGGCACTTTGCTTCCCAATTTTTTAAAAACGAAATGGAAATTGCTACATTTTTACTATTCAACGGCTGTCGGGTTTGGGATGTACCGAGTCTCTGATTTTTAGATCTCGAATTTGGCAATTTTTTTAGCTGCATTGTCCGATTTTCCAATTTTTTCATCAGGTAGGAGAGACCGCCAGAATCTTATAACGCTACAAATGCATTTATTCAAATGAATACATTTTTGCGAATTTTCGGTGCCTACCAAGGGATACAAAGGGAATATTTACCACGAAATCTCTTTCCTGCAACCTTGCAAACCGTTGACCTTTTTCTCTGCTCCCTCTTCGGGAACACCCCGTTCTGGCCCTTTCTCGGGTTGTGTGTGTGGTGGCTGGGGGCTGCGGGAAATGGGCGGACCCACAAGAACCCCCCAGTCGCGTCCTCTCACCGTGCCCTTATAGCTCAGTGGCAGAGCGTTGGTCTTGTAAACCAAAGGTCCGTAGTTCAATCCTGCGTGGGGGCAATTCTTTTGCTTTTTCGCCGGGATTTTTGGGGTGGATAGGTTGAGGAAGACTGGAGTAGAATGTTATAGTTTCTAAAGGATTCGATGCGTTTTTCTTGGCGTATTTTAGCGTTTATCTGACTTCTGCTATTGAAATAGACGCTCGGAAATGTCTAAAAAAGGAAATTTTACAGTCTTTGGGAAGATAATTCGGACATCTATTTCAGGATTCTTGGTTTTTGCAAATTACTCAAAACGATAGAGCTCCTGAAAATCGCTAAGTTTCCGTAAAAACGGTAGATTTCGTGCCAAAAGCTTCCTCCCAGCTTCAGCAACTGTCATCACAGAAATTTTGCAGAATTTTCGGGTTTTGTATTATTGAACTCGCCAAAAAGAAAGTAAGACCTCAAGAAAAGAATGAAAAGTCATCCTAAAAACCAGCTCAACTACCGGAAATACGACACCTAGCGCTTCGTCACTTCCTGGCACCAAACTCCCAACTGATTCTCGACCCCAAAAATCCCTGCCCTCCTGACGTCGTCGCCCAACTTTTTGGGGTACACTGAATGCATGAACGCGTCGAGCAAGCCGGCGCCCCCGCTCCGGGCACCCCGTAAATAAAATGGCGCCACGCGTCCACGGTTTTGGCGCCGCGCCGGAATTTTTGATTCCGCCGCTGCCTGGATTCCATCCCGATTTCTCATTTTTTCATTTCAAAATTCGCAGCAGCCAGAAAAAAATATCATCACCCCGGCACATGGCCCAGATTGTTTTTCTCGTAATTTTTTGCATGAATGACTACATGCCAATAATTAGGATGAATGGCGGGGGTGGATTAGCGCGCTTTAGAATTCGAGACGCTGCAGCATACGCTCGCTAATGAGCTTTGTGGTTAGTCATGCGAGAGATTTTTTGTGGTTTTCCGCGTCGTTTGGTGTCCTCTTCACAACTTCCGCTTGGTGTTATCCTGAAACCGCCGCTCATGTTTCCCCATCGAATAAATCTCAAAATTGGTAGTTTCACAACCGGAAGTCCATCCTTGCGGATCTGTTTTTCGCGTTTTCTTTTCAGTGTTCCTCGTTTGATTTCTAGTCAAACAAATGTTAAGAATGGATCTTGTAAGTCAACTCTATTAATTTTAATCGCTGAATAGTTGGAAATACTACTTTTCGGGCGGAACTGCTAAAAAGGATGTTTCTACAATTTGGAGGATTCTTCCTTTTGGTGCTTTTTTGCCCACTTCCTAACCAAATCCGACTTGGATCCGTTGCTCTGAATTCACTGTTGACCATTGTTAGCTTTTGACATCGAAAAATAAAGCTAAAACGAAAAACCTCTTGAAAAATGCTAACTTTAAACGTATTACTAAAAATAGATCTAGAAAAATCTCGGTTTTTTTCAAAATGAATCGGCGCTTTTTTAAAAAAAACGCAGGGTTATACCTGAGATTTTAGCCCAGGCCAAATTCTGATCAAAGATTCAGCTACCAAAAACTCAAGAAATCTTATTCTCCCCGAGAGAAAATTCCCAGGCCACCGTTCACTCCCCCGCCCCGGGCTAGACGTTCCGTTTTCCGGAATATTTACGGAAGCCCCCCATTCTGAGTATCCACCCCTTTCATCAGCCGAATTCGGAATTTCCGAACCTTTGAAGTGTATTGAATGGAGGCCGAGTGTGTGTATGGGAGTTGTGTGCGTTGAAAAGCAGAGGAGGAAGAGGAGGAGGAGGATCTAAGGGAGTGGGCCCTGGCCACAATTGGCCACTCCCACCCCAGGGCCATTGCCAAGGCAGAGACTAGCTGGCCGCCTTTGTTCGCCTTTCACTTACTTATCCAATTTGAATCCAGGACGTTGGGGTAGTGGTTGTAGTGGCATTTTCGCAACTTTTCAGGATTTTTCGAGCCTTAAGTAAGTCGGAAACGCTCGATTTTCGAACCGAAATTTCCACATTTGCATCCTGAGCTTTCCTTCCGAAATTTTTTGCTTTTTCGTAATTTTGTGTAGCTGTTGAGAAAGAGAGAGATCGAGAGAAAGAGAGAGAGTAAGAGACAGCTGGAGAGAGAAATAGAGAGAAAGAGAGAGAGAGTGAGTGAGTGAGAGTGTGAGAGAGAGGAAGAAATCTAACAATTTTTTCGACGAAATTTTAACTTCTAATATCCGTAAAACATTCTTTGCCAGCTTAAACTATAAAGTAGTCAATTCCTTGTCTCAAGCGCTTGTTCCTGTTCTTACAAGCCCAGATGAACACCGGAAGTCCTTAAGCACCCCAGCTCCCCCACCTTCAACTCCATTGAAATTTTCGAGCCCAAGAACCCTCCAGGGAAATTAGTGAGGCCCTCCAAGTTGCAATTTTTTTCTTTTTTTCAATCCTCATCCTTCCAAGGGCCCGGAATCCAAACGCCTAATCCCGAATCCCCAAAAATTCAAGCCCTCCCCAACTCGCCTCATAAATTTTCGGCTCAATTTCGCGCGCCCGCGGCATATTTACCCGCCGAGGGCCAGGCCCCAAAAAAAAAGATATAATCGAGCGTTCGCATCTGGGCAAATGATGGCGAGGGCTGCGTTTTTTATCCCAGGCCCTGAAAGGTTGTTGATGTCCGCTTTTTCGCGGGGCGCTTTATAAGTCACGAGGAAGCGGATGGGATAGTCGTCATGTTGGATCTGATGGAATTATTTTCGGGGTATCGCGTTCGTTCAAAATGCAATATTTATCCCAGATAACCTAAAAGTGCTTGATAACCTAAAAGTTTCTTAATTAATTGTTAGCTCGTTAAATTATGTTATTCTGCTTCTAATCAATCCTTCCTAGGTTAAAAATTCTGATTTTTATCGTTTTCCAGTCTTTTCGATTTGCATATTTTGTTAATTTTTCTGCATTTTTTTGTCTTTCCAGTAAGTTTTCAAGCTATAAAATTGAGAACCTTTAGAGTCAAATTTTCACTTCCGCTTCATCTTGCTATGTACACTGATCGAATCGCCGACGAGCAAGCAATCCCATGATAGTCTTCTGGTTGCTGGCCCTTGGACAAGGTATCTATCGGAAGATTCATTAAAAACGGTCATTTCATTATTTTATTGGGCCCTCATCGGCAGAGGTGTACTTTCCGTCGACCATCACCTTTAACTTCCCGATCTAGAAAAATTTCACAGAGATCGCTTCCCTTATTTTCTTGCGTCCTTTCGATCAAGTCGTTTCTTTTATAGTACCATTTTCAAGCGCAGCCCCCTCTAACAACCAACCCCCTCCCCCGACACAACACAAAATACCCAAATTTGGGTGAGCAGCGGCCGAGCTGTGAAGCGTATTTTGTCTCCACACGAGGGGTGTACCCAACCCTCCTCTATCTGTTTTGCCTTTTTTGAGGGTGGTCGTGGGCGAGCCGCCTACCCCGACTTCCGCCAATCGTTCCAAATTGAGGGCGACACGGGTCTCGCCGCGAGGCCTCGGAAAATTCAGTCTGTGAAAAATTCGGATGAAAGATTTGAGGCGTCCTGAATGGATTGGGCGAGACGGCGCGTGTTTCTGGGGGAAAAGCGTAAGAGAGAGGGAGAGAGAGCGAGAGAGAGAATGCGAAAAATCGTCTGATTTTCGGGGAAACGTGAGGAATTGAGGGACGAGGTGTCAGGGGACGAATTTGATCCCTCGGACGAGCTCCGTTCGACTCTAGAGCAACAAAAAAGCGCGGAGGAACTTCCTAAAGTGTAAAAAATGCTCAATATCGTGAAATGTAGATAACCTAACTAAAAATGATTTTCAGCGATCTCCGCAAGTCATATCGTCGATTTGGACAATCCGGCGGCGCATCCCGATACCAGCGTAAACCAAAAATATGCGTAAAAATCTAAAAGCTTTCTTTTTTAGGTGGAGTGCGCCAAGCAGTGCGCTTCTTCACTTCGCACCGGCTTGTTGGCCGCTCTGGGAACCCATTCCACGCCATATTCATCACTTCTAGCCCCATTCCACCATATTTTCTCCCAAAACCCAGATCCAAGACATTCACTGCGAAAAAGTGAGACTACGTGCAAGTAGGTTTTGCAAAAACTAATTTCGAAGGTGAAAAGGTGACATGGGACTAATTCCTGCGCATTCCTCCAAAAAGCAAAAAGAGTTGCCCATGGGTGGAATCGAACCACCGTCGCCACGGCCACAACGTGGAGTACTAACCACTATACTACATGGGCCGAGAGCACGGGCGGCGGTGGGGCGATAAGAGGTGTGGGTGGTCCCACCCGGGGAGGGGGGGAGATAATGGGACGGTTGAGATGTGGCAAGAAAAAAGTTTGCGAGAGAGGAAGGCAGGGAAAAGAAAGAGAGAAACCGGGCAGCTAAAAACAAAGTAAACAAAGGCTAATAGAATTAGGTATAACCAGGGACGTAGCGTAATACAGGCCCGGGGGCCCGGGCCCCGAAATCGGCCGGGGCCCGAAATTTCATAAGGGGGACCCTTATGATTTTATTTTCTCAAAAATTTTGCTGCCTGCGGCGCTATTTTTCACGTTTTACGGCTATTTGTAGGCTATGCAACCTTGTTTTCAAAAATTTTTGCCTGCGGCGCTGTTTTTTTCGGTAATGTTTTGAGTTGTTTGGAACATTTTTTTGGGGGCCCCCCCGAAATTTTTTTCTGGCTACGTCCCTGGGTATAACCTTGACTTTTTGTTTAGTTGCGATCAAATGGTTTGTTGTTTTTGCCCGCTCTTTTGTAAATTTTCGACGGAAAAATATAATACCCTGCCGCTAAGCTCCTAGTTCCATCCCATAATTTTCAGAAGCGTTTTCCACTTTGACTCATGTCTATCGAAATGTGGCGGGTCGACGGAAAAGGACACTTGGCAGCAATCGATCTCGCATTGGACCCTGTTTTGCACATTGATTCGGCAATCCACTAAAGGTATTTGATATTCAGTTACGACATGAAAATCAACCCGCTTTAGCCGTTTATGAATACGTTACTTGCGAAGGGGCCCAGATGCGGAAAGCCGTCGAACAGTGCGGCCAGATCAACATTTATCCGAGGAGTTCTTTCACGACGTTTTGCCGGTAAGGTTTTCAGCTCGCTTTGCAGGGCTAGAGATAAAATTCGATGAGTTTTTCGCGAATTTTTGCAACACTCTATCAATAAAAATTATTTTTGTCTTTCAGGGTGTTCGAAAAGTACAGAAGATGCTATCAGAAGGTGAAGCACGACTGTACGCCGCCGGGACTTGCTGTAAGCTTTCAAAAACCAGACCAATTTGATGTTTTTAGATCAAGCAACAAATTGACGACGCCATCCAAAAATCCTTTGAGAGGTTGATGAACATCAACTCGAATAGGGTTAGAATTCCGAATCGCTGCACTGCCTGGATCAATTCTCAGGGCAACGAGGAAGAGGATGAGAATGCGGTGGGTTAATGAGCGTTTAGATGTATCCTTAAAGGTACACTAAAATCTCGCTCAAAAAGTTCGGTCGCGGTAGGAAGTTTGGGCCTCTCCCAGCAACCCAGCCCCTTCTAAGGCCCCCCCCCCCCCTTCCCGTCTCGCCTTGGCCTATGGTCCAGGCGCGCCCTGGCTCAGGGTTCGGTCTCCGCGGCGAGCGCCACCGTATCTTGTTTGCTTCCCGCAGACGGTTACCGGCCGGTAACCAATCCACCGAGACTTTAGTGTACCTTTAAACAGTTTAAAAACTCCGAAATTTTGAGCCGGAGAGAGAACGGGTTTTTTTAAGATTAATCAATCACAATGGAAAACCTCACAGCATCGTTCAACAGATCTTCACGTAGTGCAGCAAATTCCGGTGCTACGAGAGGCTCCGAAAGGTTTGTAGCGTGCAGTCGAAGTTGGATCTCCCACTTTCTCTCGTGCGCCCTCTCTCTCTCTCTCTCCCCCTTCTCTCTGACGCTCTCTCTCTCTCTGACGCTCTCTCTCTTTATCACTATCGTTCCAATGAGTGCTTGAAACACTGTCTGCATTTTTGAAAACCCGTGAATCCTTGCGAAATTTTTAGAAGCGATCACCCCAACCCTGGAACCTCCCACCGATGAGCCCGACCTCATAACTGTCAGGCCCTACCTTCCACTCCTGTCGACAACCCCCTCGCCCTCAATAAGCGTGTCCTCAAGTTTGCTCAGCAAGTCGACGAGCTTGCCATCTTATGCATTTTCACTTTTCTCTGTCTTTGCAACGACACTTGCATTTCTTCAACTAAGACATTGATAAAATTTTATTCTGATGTTTTTTGATTGCACCAAATCACAGAGAATCCGATTGGCATCACAAAGTAGAAACTAAAGTAGAGGAGAGAGGGAAGAGAGAGAGCCAAAGATAAAGAGAGAGAGAGAGATGAGAGCGAGAGTCAGTAGACATAGCTTTCGTTAGCAGTAAATCGAGTCTAGAGCGGACAGGAAGTATAGGAAGCCGAAAACAAATCCGATGCCTCTAGGCACTAGGTAAGCCGATCCGCGGCTGCTTTGCTATGTGGCTAACGGAGCCAAATTTGGGCCGGATTTCGGGTAAGCAAATGCTGATGTTTCCAAGAAAAACGAAGATTATTCCAATAAAATTTAAGAGCGATTTTAAGCTATTCAAAACTACTAGATTCCTGCTCTAGTTTAGCGATAATGACGTCTCATGGAGTTGAGACTTCAGAAAAAATCTCTAACAAAACTCAATTCTTCTTCTTCTGCTTATCTGTTGCTTTCGGTGTGTAATACTCTACACAGAGGAGGTAGAAGAACGAGATCGTCGTCCAAATCGAGTACAGCGCGATACCGTACCAATGTCCGGCAGACCAGTCGCGTAGGTAAGCGACTTGGGACCAGACTTGGGCTGAGAGGATGGCGACGCAGCACTGGAAAATGGAGGTTTTTGCTACGGTTTAGAGGATAATGAATTATTAGCCATTTTTGGTTTGTAGCCTTTTTAGATCGATGTGAAAGTATAAATACGTCAACTTACCACAAATCGACACCGCACGCCAACTTTCCGGTCTTGATAGCTGGGCCAGTGGAGGGCGTACTGGGCCACGCAGAAGCTACAGACGAAAAGCGCACCCATCACGCGGCCACAGAGCTCGTGGCTTTCATCGAGAGTGACGATCACCTAAAAGGAACTTTGAGATAACCCTCATTAAAAAACTTGGTGGGCTAGACGAAACAAGAGCAAAAAGAGAGAAAGAGAGAGAAAAGCATGAAATAGATAATGAGAATGAGACAGTCAGATAGACAAAAAAAGAGTGATCTACCAACCTGCTTGTGCAACAACCACTTCGGGAATGCCAACCACGCGGCCCCGATGCAAATCGAAGCCGTGCAATCGAGCTGGTAAAGCCCATTTCCGACCGGCTGATCCAGCATCAGGCTGTTGCCTAAAAAAATACTCAATCTTAATTTTCGATTCCTGGGTTGGCAGGGTAGTAGGTCATTTAATTGCGTCATTATATAGACGTGAATAAGCTTGAAAATTCTGAAAATGACCCACCGATGGGCCATCCGGTTGCAAGGAGCAACAAAACGTTGATCGCCAAGCCCGATAGACAACCGTATTTGATAATAACCATCACCTAGAAGGGGTTCTTTGCTGTTAAAATCGATTAGAATCTTCTTACGATTGGTCGCACAAGATTTGGGTTGACTGAGCTGGTCTCGAGGTAGAGGAGGATGAGGATTAGGAATGCCTAGAGCTTCGAGTTAATCATCCATTTTCAGATTCGTAGATCAGATGTGTATAAATATTCAAAACTTACAACTATCCTCATAATATAACAGGCAGTGTGCGTGACTTTATTCGAGTTTTTCAAAAGGTGAGAAGCCAGGCCGGCTGCCATAAATTGTCCTCCTACACATCGTATCAAGTGCCAATGCACACCGTCGGTTACTTTTTGCTAAAAGTTGAAGATTATTGATTTTCATGGATGTGTAAACGCTTGTAGACTTCAAAGACTCACAAAAACATAATCTCCGACAAGATGTGGGGCAAAAAACAGCACCGCACCGAGCGCCGAACTCGCCAGCGCGTCGAAGGTTAACCACACCTTTGAGATCATTCTGAAAAGAACGGGTATATAATAAAAACGTACTGGCGAGAGAATGTAACAAAAAAATAGTATTAATGGTCGTGATATTGCTTAAAAAGTATTATTTTCGAAATCCTGCCGATTTGCGGATGTAAAGTATAAATAAATGGCAACGAGCACGAGAGAGATTTTTAGAGATATCAATAAAAGGCTAAATAATCAATAAAGAAATGGTTTTCCGCGTGATCATGAGCGTCCCAAAAGTCGCCCTTTATAGAGACGCAACATCAGAGATTTTATCGGAATCATATGACTTGCCAGACGCTAGACCTCTACGGCCAAAAAGCGTTTTTCTAGAGCTCCAAAAAATTGAGGAGCGCATAAAAAATTGTGTATGCAAGTCTGCCTTTACTAAAAAGCCTAGGAAGCATTTGAAAACAATTTGCAAATGGAAGAATTCCGGCGGATTTTCGAGGATAATCATAAAATCCTTGAAATTTCGGTGAACTAGACATGGATCCTTGCGAGGATCGTTGAAACTGCACACTTTTCTAGTTCGGGTGTGCTGGACGGCTGCCTAATTGACCAAGTGAAACCAGCCCCGCGGCGGGGGCAACGGATTGTGACAGGTCAGAGAGCTCGTGTTGGTACGCTGGACTAGTCTCAACGGGTGGGTTTTGTAGCCCAAAGCGTCAACGATGTGTAACTCTGCTCAAAAACGTCCGAAAATGCAAAATAAGGTTCAAAATGACATTAGTAATAAATTTAGCACAGCTTAGCCACATGCATTTTCAGGTATTTTCGATTCTAATTTCCAAATAAATCCTTTAAAAAATGTTCGCTGAGCTGGAGGACAATATTGAGAATTTTGGAAGAATGGAACTCGTGCTAGACAGGTTCTTGTAACTCGCACGGTCCGAAAACAGCCCTCTTATGCGCGCGGGCGGGCGCGTGAAATTGCCGAAAGTGCGATGCGATCGATTTTGGGGGAATTTTGAAGTGTAGGTGAAAGTTGTTGACAAATTTGAATTGGTGTATCTATTTCGGTTTTTTTTTTGGTGGAAGGGTCAAAATTATGACAGCACGTTAAAAACCTTTCCCTCCTTTTGATACAATTTACCGACGAACCGCTTTCAAAAAACTTTGAAATAATTATCTACAAAATTATAGATGATATAATTAGATTAGAGATAATTACATTTTGAAATAAAGATAGAAAGCGATAGAGAGAGAGAAAGCGAGAGAGAGAGAAAGAGAGAGAGAGAGAGAGAGAGAGCGAACATCATAGAGGCGAGATCAAGCTCGAAAAGCCAAAATTTAAAGGTATCTCTATTTTGCCGGATGAGCGAAAAGTAATACAGGTTTCATAAAACCTTCCATTCCTCAAAAGTTGAGTCATCTCCACGTGTCGAGCAAGAAACACCCCCGAAACAAGTCATGGGCTAGCCGAGCAAGCCCGCCACGAGATCGATCTCCCCTCGGGGGAGGAGGATCCGAAGAGGGACGTGGCAGTGCGACCGGATGGCCTTGATCCGATCTGGACACTGCCCCCGAGGGCGCCCGCCACATCCACATACAGACAAAATATTCGGACAGAGACATGGACAGACGGGCACAGACTGACGAGTCGTTGGCTGACCTTTTAGCCGGCGGCACTTTGTGGTTTGGTGAATGGCCGATTGAGCAGTTTTAAAAAAACCGTTAAAGGTCCTTCAGAATAGGAATTTAAGTCCTGTTGTAATTGGCATCCGCTCTCTCTATAAACGGCGTTTTGGAAATCTTGCGTTCTGTAAATTAAAAACGTAAAGCGATCATCTTTCAGCATCGGCACCCTGTAAGTGGTTTGATGGCTAGATTGTTGACTGAATGATCGTCCTAAAACGCATGCATTAAAGGCCCTGAGAAGGCAAGAATCCACGGGCTTCCAACCTAGCTCCAGGGATTTAGCTAATTCAGCAACCTCTTTATTCGAGGCGTATCACGATGCTGAAGGTTATCTTAATGAGCTTTTCGGGGTGGAGCCACATTTTCAGTTTTTGGCGTTTTCCAAATGTTTCATAACGTTTGGGTCCTGACTTCATAGTTCCTTTAAGAATATCACTGAAATCAGAACGTCGCCGACATTTTCCTGACGATTTTGTCGACGCTGTGAGACCGGTAGTTCCGGCTGAAACAATTGAACAGGAAAAAACCCATTCACTACCGTCCGACAACTATCCATTCCACCAAGTCTTCATCGAGACTTTCTCCATTAAACTATCGCCAAAGAACTGACGGGCGATGATGTGTCTACCCAAATTTCCCATTTTCCGTTGTCAAGTGCATTTAGCCAATACACTGATATTTATGAAAGAGAGGGCAGATGCCAACAATTTCCAAGCCGTCACGTGGACGGAAGAATGACAGCTTTTCGGCCTTCAGCATCTTACGCTTTCAATTTTGATAAAACCGGAACTCTTCTAGAATTATCGATGCAAAAATTGAAGGATTTTTTAATCCTAAAACAAATCGATTCATGAGTCGGAAGGAGAAAAGCTCAAGCTGAATCAGAGAGCTTCTTGCCACTCATCAGCTCTTTAGCTAAAAGGGTCCACTTACCGACGATTTTTTTCATCCATGCTGCGATGAAAATAAAGCGTGAGAGAGCGAGAGCGATGGAAAGAACGAGAGAGAGAGAGAGAGAGAGAGAGAGAGAGAGAACGAGAGAGAGATAAAACGCTACTTATTCACGTTTATCTATTCATTGCTTGCCTTTTCGGTTTTTGCCAGTTCTTAAATAGAATTTATTAACCCAAGACACACAAAAATATCTAGGGGGAGCACCGATATCATTTGAGCCGAATTGGAGGGGTCGATAGGTAGGGGCAGGATATCAAATTTTGACAAAATAAAAATTGAGAAAGGTGGTATGAATTTTGACAGATCGGGCGTTTTCAAAGAAAAATGACAACATGCAAATCAGGGCAATTAACAGGAGGGAAATGGCACAGAATTTCAATGCGAAATATAAAAACGAATTATTACCACAATTTTCTAAGGTTTCGGGCCTTCCATCGAGCGCTTCATGGCGGCTTCAATGTGATGGTAGGCGTCCTTGCCGAGGTAGTCGGGTCGGCCCTCTTCCCAACGACGGCGGCCCTCCTCGAGGGATTCCTGGAAAAAGATAAATAACTTTGTAAAAGCAGTAAAAAAGCGTAAAATTACAACAACGATGAGAGGCGGAAGGCTAGTAACTAAACATTAAACGGACGAGGAAGCGCTAGGGTCTACCCTCTTCTTCCACTGGGCCTCGAAAGTTACTGAATACGGCTAAAAACGCTGCAAGAACGTTTTGCTTTTTGCCCTTGCCGGTGCCCTTGGGGTGGCTATGAAAATCCGATCAAATGCGTCATTTGGAGCTTAACGTAGTTGTCGAGACCTAGTGGGGGAAAAGTCGTTTTTGCAGTCGTTTTTCATTTTTGAATGCACCTCAAAGACTAAAATGTCATAACAGTTTTCCGCTACCTCTCATCGTTTCGAAATTTCGAAAACCGTGTCCGAAAAATACAATATTAAGAAAGTGGGAGAGCGAGTAAAAGTTAGAATTTTGCTGAATTCCTGTAAATCAGTACTTAAAACCATCTTTTTTTGTCACCAAACCGTCATAAACAGCAAGCTTTTTGGTTGTCAAAAAAATATCATCGACGTGATCGGAAGGAAAAACTTGCTAGCGTGATCCTTTTAAAATTTCGACTTCCCATAAGAAAAATCAGACAATTCCAACATCCATATTTGAAGTTGGTTATACAGGAAAAATTATTAGAACCAATCTCTAAAAGGGGAAACACACTTTTTCTTCTTCCTCGTTCACCGCACTCTCATCACTACAGGCATGCAAATTCTCGAGGTGAATCGCCTCCTCTTCGACGTCATCTCCGTCGGATTCATGCGATTCCGAGGACGAGACGGAGAATGGGGACAGAACTCGGGGAGTCGCGTCATCTTGCGGCTCGGATTGAGAGACCTTTTCCGGATTATCAGCTCCAGACTGGCTCTTCGGCTTCCGGCTGTTCTTCTGGCCCTTCCGGTGCACACCACTTACAGTATTCTTGGCGGCTGATGTGGCGGCGGTGTGCTTCTGACGATCGTGCGAGTCGTCGTGCTGAAAAATGAAATTAACCATGCAACGGGACGCCGACAACAACAAGTTCAATTTTCTTTCAACGCCTGTAGTTAATCCTTTTCATTTTCTTAACAATTCAGGCCTGAACATGGCTTAATCAAGTAAAAAACAACGCGTACTAGCGGTTGATTTATAATCGGCTTTAAAAATGCGAAAAAAATATGCCGAAATTGATTTTGTCGAAAATCACTCTTCGATATTTCATTATATCGAAATACGTGATTCCGATAAAATGAATTTCGACTTCCAATTTTATGCTGAATAAAGCTACTCGAAACAATATATAAATTTTTGCATTGCCAACTTCAAATATCTGAGAAATTACGTAGATTTGGAAGTCCTCTAAATTCACAGTACGCAAATTCGCACAACCTTAAGCGCATCATTCCACAAATTTGACCACAAGCTACAAAAACACGCAAAAACCGAAAAACCACGACGATTATGATTTACCGGAGTATCCTCCTTTTCCGTAATTTCGAGGATTAGCTCGTAATGATCGCCAGACGCGTGCTGTTTTAAAGTTTTGGTTAAGTTCAAACTCGCATTCAAAATCAGTTAGTTAAAAATCGAATTCTAAAAAATACCGGCTGCGCCGAGGTGCCCTGCTTCGAGACGTGCCGCCGGTGGATCTCGTGCCATCGCTGCGAGAATTCGGGCAACTGCAGCCCGGAGCCGCCGCGCCACGGCTTCTGCGTGCCGATGAAGTGCACGATCTTCACCTGGTCCTTCAGCCTGGAAAAAATAGATAAGTACCGATAATTTCCTAGAAGCGAAAACCACCAAGAACACTATAAAAATACATTATATATTATCAACGCGCCTCCCCCCGCTAACAGTCCAGTACCGACAATGCAGCGCCTTGTTTTGCTGGCTCCTTTAGTTAACAAAATGAGGAAAGAAGTGGATAAAATAAAGGGTAAACCTTACTTGTTATACGCCGCGGCGTACGTGTAGAAGATGCCGCCGGTGACGTTGTAGATGAAGGGGAGACGGTGTGCCGAGGAGGACTCACGCCATCCGGAGAAGTACGAGTTGAGCAGACCCTGGTCGGCGCCGTCGAACGAGCCCTGCGTGGTGGCGTGGTGCATCAAGGAGCCTAAAAAGCGGGTTCTAACAAGCCATGTAAATTTAGAATGGGCTATGCATTAATAGAAAGTATAAAAATTAAAAATTCACCCCCCCCCCCCCCCCCCCCCCCCCCCCCCCCCCTTCAATTTTTTCCTTTTAATTATTTTCCCCCCTTTTAATCCCAAAAAAAAAAAAACCCCCCCCCCCCCCAAAAACACCCCCCCCCCCCCCCTTTTTTTTTTTTTTTTTTTTTTTTATTATTTTTTTTTTTTTTTTTTAAAATTATTTTTTTTTTTATATATTTTTATTTTTTTAATATTTCTTCTTTTTTCAATCTCCCCCCCCCCCCCCCCCCCCCAAAAAAAACCACCAACCCCCCCCCACCCCCCCCCCCTCCCCACACAAAAAAAAAAAAACAAAAAAAACACCAAAAAAAAAACCCCCCCCCCCCCAAAAAAAAAAAAAACCCCCTTTTTTTATAAAATAAAGCATAAAAATTCGCTTGAAAACGACTTACGGTATGTCTCCTCATTCGGCCGGAACACGAACACGCCCGAGTTGAAGAAGTCGGGCCAGCCAATGTCCGGGGCGGCGCTGAACTCGTCCCGCTCGAACAGCTCGTCGACGTTGCGCAGCACCTAAAAATTAGAATAAGTTTGGCCTTGCGAACACCTTTAAACGCCAGGATTGTCCGAAAAACTAACCAGGGTATCGGCATCGAGGAAGACGGCCTTGGTGTACTGGGTGAGGCGCCAGCAGTGGAGCTTGGTGAAGGTGAGGGCCAGGTCGGGGCGGCCGATCAGCGCCAAATTCGCGTCGTCACCGCTCTGGAGGACATCAACGACCGAGATGTCGTCAAAGACTTCGGAGAGTTGCTGTTGTGCCGAGGAGGTCACCTGGAAAGGATGAGGTAGAGAGAGAGCGAGAGAAAGAGAGAGGGAGAGAGAGATCGACACCCACCTGCTCCGAGATCAAAACGTGCAACCGCTTCGACGTGTTGACTTCCCTCAAAGAGTAGCCGAGCACAAGCGCTCCCTGCACGTACTCGTCATTTGTCGCTAGCGTAACAAAGGCCTCTGTCATGGCTGAAAAACGTGAAATTACCATAATAAACGGATCGAGTAAAAAATTCAAAAGGAAAAAGAAGATCAAAATTCGAAATTTTCTGAAAAATAGCGCTTTCGTAGGCGGGGGTGAGATCCCGCCCAGAGATAAGGATTGATAAGGGCCGGGGCGCATTAATGGTAATAAGGCAGATGTTTTGCATCTGTCGTCAGTTGGCTTTTGTTTGTCGATTTTTCTGGATTTTGGAACTAGCTTCGCTTTGCAATAATTATCCAACGATAACTTAGAAAAAACTTGGTTAAATCTAGTAAAATTAATTTTTTTTTAAGCTGGTGTCAGGAACGCATTATTAATTAATTTTTTCAAGCGCTGGCAATATGCAAATTACGTTAGAGCACTTTATTGAATTCCTGGGAAATATCGGAATTTCAAACCGAAAAATTGTGTAATTACAAAATACTATAAAAAACTGTTTTATATTATTTTTGATCTATTTGGTTGTAGGAAATTTTTAAAGTCCATGGTGAAAATTTTTCACCATGGCCTTTAAAAATGAATCATATTACCTGTTTAACTATAAAACATTGGTTTTCTAATTATAAACGGGTGAATTAAATCTAAGCCATAGTCGTCGTTCATATGCAAACTAGGCAAATTAAAGCACAAAATTTATTTAAGCTCCGAAAACCCGGAAAATGAATCCTCGCCTTCTCGTAATAGCAAATACCATTTTCGGCCCAAAATCGTGTAGAAATCAATCCCCGGGCCTACGAAATGTTTCATCATTTGCGATCAACAACATGGGCCCCCAGCGGGGAGGAGCCGAAACCCCCCGAAAAAGCCGAAAAAACGGTTGAGGGGCCGTGTCTGACTGTTTACTGGGCAGCTGTCTGGACTGAACTGGGATGGGGTTGAGGCAGTGAACATAGCCAAGGGCCCACACCGACACTTTACAAAGCGTGATCCGTCGGCCATCCCCCAAAATTGCTTGATGCCCCCGGTGGGCCAGCCTTCGGTTATTCGTGGAAGGTTCGGGTGCCCACCCGGGTCGTGCAAAAAACTGGACGTTGGATGATGAAACGGAGGTGTTTCTGTGGGAAAACCGGCGCCTGGGCCATCCTAAAGGACGAGGTAAAATCCATTAGTAGTCATTTGCAGACTGCAATCGGCCGGGCCGCGCGGCTTTTCGGCCGCAAAAATTAGAATGCGGCCGGGCCGCGCGGCTTGCCGCACCCGGCGCGGCCGCGGCTTTTTCCGTTTTGAGGCCGCACGGCGGCCGCCGCGCGGCTTTTGAGCCGCATCCAAATGAGTTTTGGTACTTCCGGCGTAATCAGAGTGTATGCGTATTTAGCCTGCTAACGAGGAATATCCATACTGTAACCTTTTTTCTCTTTCCTTCTCTTTGGCTGTTCGCGGTTTTTCGATTGTAATGAGCCACTTCCGGTTTGCGGCTTGCCGCAGCGGCCCGGCCGCCGCGTCATGCGGCTGGGCCGCGAGCCGCATTTCCGGGTACTAATTACGGCCTCGTGGGGGCCGCTTTTTTGGTTCCGCCGGCCCGGCCGCGCGGCTCGGCCGTCTGTTGCCTGGGTAATTTGCAATCCTAATCGAGAACGAAAAAAACCGTAGGCGGAAAAGTCGTTAAAATCTCGGTGTCGGATCATGAACTCCTGCCGGCGGAATTGAAATTGCTTTTTTAAGGACCTCTGCGGTGAAATACACTAACCTAACTCCGATTGAAATTATAGTTGGAAGAAATAATAAGAAACCAATCATGAGCACTGTACGAATCGACTGTGCTGTAAAGGGTTTTCTGGTGGTTGGTTTTGCGTTTTTTTGACCTATAAGTTTTTTTTTTTCTTTTTCGGCCATCGTTTATAGCATTATATAGTGTGGCTTGCTGCTTTTATGCGCTTCAACTAAAGTTTTCTTTGCTTTTGTTTTTTTTTTTTGTGGGTTTGGGTTTTTTTTTTTGGGTGTGGTGGGTCTTTTTTCTGCGTTTTTGCAAAAGGAGTAGGCTATCAGCCACAAATATTAGGAATCCTTAATTTTTGTCTCGTGTGAAAATGGAAAGGAACCGAAAAACCATAAAAAGGGAAATGTTGCATGCCTGGGCATTGTGACTACCCGGCGTGCCCTCCGCAAGTTTACTATCCCCCTTATCAACAAATAAAAAGAAGAAAAAGAAGAGGAGGAGACACGTGGGAATGGGGAATGACTTGACGGGATAGAAATAGCTACAAAACGAGAGAGAGAGAGAGGGGGAGAGAGAGAGAGCGATAGAGAGAGAAAGAGAGAGAGAGAGAGAGAGAGAGAGAGATAGACAAAGTAATAAAAAGTATAACTATCGCCAGACAGACAAAGCGACATGAAAACGACTCTAAATATGCCTAGGTTGTGTGGCGGAATGGGTACCCCCGTCGCATTGATCCAAAAGCGCATTTCTTCTTCTTCCCGCGCCTGCGGCCACACAACATAGAGGGCCCCCGGAAAATGTCGGCCCGCCCGGCTCGAGGGCGGTTGTTTACTACGTGCTTCTTCAAAAAAAAACGATGGGAAAGGGCTGATTTCAGATGTGTACTTTGATGCCAGCTGGTATGATAATTAATTCAACTCTTCCTCAACGAATACTGAAAGCCGAGAGCTAATTTTAAAAGCAAAATTGTAATTTGCTAGCTTTTTTGCGTAGCAGTTCCTGACAACAAGTTGATGAATTGAGTAGCATAGCGTTAGCATTGTATCAAAAAACCACAAAATTAACGCTTTTTGGCAAACAGAAGAAATTGCCGGGCCCGGTTTGACATTAGCCAGCTATGTGATGTTTACGCAAGTACGTGTCTCATGGCAGGAAAGAAATTTTCGTTGCACTATGAAATCGACACGTCCGCGTCCCTTGCGAAGCAATCGATTGGAAAAACAAGTCTATGGAAATTGGATCTGCAATTAGACATAATATCCAGTATTTCATTAACATTTCGACAACACAATAAATAAAAAAGTTTAAGGCATATTATGTAGGGTCACGTATCACTAGAATAACCTCCGGAGGCGCTCTCATGCATTTCTAATTTGTTTTTCGTGCTTTTTTAAACAGCTGCTATTGGCTAGTGAAAAACGATACTCTATTTTGGCAAGGCACCGAAAAAATTACTAGAACTAATACTGAACTAAAAAGCTGGCACCACAGAAAACGCTAGCTGAAGCAGGTTCTGTGACGATAATGCAGCGCTTGGCTACAACATAGATGAAAGAACGCAAAATTAATGATATGATGAGCGGTTAGTTGACATGTTTCAACGAATCGCAAGAATGAGCCCAGTAAACCTCCAGGTCGCCTCTGTTTGCCATCAACTCGATGCCACGGCCGCGCATGACCGCCCACAAAAACATATTGTCTGTTAGTTTAGAGCTTGAGAATATTGATAAATTGATCGTTAGGGGCTTTGATGCCTTAAAAATAATTTTTATTGTAAGTTTCTGTCACCAGCTGTCTCTCACTCACTCTCTCTCGCTCTCTCTCTCTCTCTCTCTCTCTCTCTCTCTCTCTCTCTCTCTCTCTCTCTTCTTTTTTCTCTTTCTCCTCTCTCCTTGTGCTGTGTATTTTATACAGATTCTTATTCCGTGCGATCACTTTCGCTTTCTGCAACAGGATTTATTCTTGCTGAATTTTCCATCGGGGTGTAGAATTAAGAGGGAGTTTTCTGCAGTGGGAGGAAAAGTGTATAGGGCCAGAAAAACAAGTCGGGGGGAAACCGTTGCGAAAAAAAGGATATTTCAGCCGGTATAGTCAGGAGAGGGAGGGGTGTACAGGTGCATGTAGTTTGTAGCGGTATTCGGACTGGTATACGGGTAGGTGGATTCGTTGAAATGGCCATTAGGGTGCGAGGGGACATTGGGGGTTGTATTCTAAATATTGTCCCAAAGAATCGTGCGACCAGTGTTTCGGGGGGTTTGTCTACAAAGGGTTCTAGAGGTTTGAAAAATTGGGGGGTTTGTAAACCCCCCCCCGCCCCCCCCCCCGCCCCGCCCCCCCCCCCCCCCCCCCCCCCCCCCCCCCCACCCCCCCCCCCCCCCCACCCCAACCCCAACCCCCACCCCACCCCCAACCCAAACCCCAAGCCCAAGCCTAAGCCTAAGCCCAAGCCTAAGCCTAAGCCAAGCCGAAGCCCAAGCCCCCAAAATTTTACGAATCATACATTCACCAAGGTCAAACAGAAATTCGCAAAATCTACAGACTAGCCAGAAACCAAGAAACACAAATTGCAAACCATTTTTTCACATGCTTTCTTTTTGCTAAATAACGACATCGTAGAGAGAGCCGAATACTTTCGTTTTGATGCGAGGAACCGGAATGGGTGCTGAATTCAAGGGGCGGTGCAAAATAGGTTTTAAAACGTCGAAAATCGGATTCGAAAATTGAACAAAGATATAGAGAGAGATGAGATCGAGGAGACGGGTGCAAATTCAATGATTTGCGATCGTCGAAATGCAAGTAGCGGTCGCGGTGCTGTTGCTCATTCCCTCTTGATCTCGGCGCCGCAGATGGTGAGCGTGAGGAAGAGGTTCGAGCGCAGTTGCTGGGCCTGGAAAAGGTATATTGAATAAACCGTTGTCACGATCTCAGTCTCGCTATCGCACGCTCTTGCTTTATTTCTCTCTCTCGCTCTCTCTCTCTCGCTCTCTCTCTCTCTTTCTCTCTCCCTCTCTCTCTCTCCCTCCACCAACCTGAGGATTCTCAGCCCTCTGCTGCTGCAGCAACATCATCGGCGTCTCGCTGCACAAGTCACCCTGGTTGACCAGCTCGGTCATCTGCGGCTCGTTCAGAAACTCCTTGAACAGCTCGATCAGCTCGGCGTTCATCCTCTCAACGGCGTAGTGGATGACGGTCTTTCCATTCGTGGCATCAACCAGCATCGGGTCGGCTCCGGCCCTCATCAACTCCCGGATGGTGTCCTTGTTGTCGATGATCTGGCGCTGCTCCTCGTCCATGGCCCCGTGGTTCCGGATGGCGCACAGCAGGGCCGAGCTGCCCATGCCGTTCAGCTTGTTAACGTCGGTCTCCGGGTTGGAGCAGAGGATCTGGATAGAGGTGATCAAGCTGAGAAAGGAAGTGATATCGATACCTTGACGATGTCGCTCATGCCTCGGGAGGCGGCGTAGTGGATGGCGCATTCGCGTTCTGGGCGCAGCGTCTGGGAGTTGGGGTGGGCGCCGGCCTCAAGGAGGTAGGCGACGACCTAAATTTGGGGGATTAGAGGCAGTATGACAATAAGAATAGACTCATTGCCTTCAACATTCCTTTAAATTGATCATCTACCAGTTTTTAGCGAAAAATGGAAAGCCACAAACCTCGGCCCGTCGCTTCTCGACCGCCAGGAAAAGCGGGGTCTCGTGGAAGCGGTTCGGGAGGTCGAACGGCTTGGCGTCGCGCGAGTAGTTGGTCTTGAGCTGCTGCTCGACGAGGGCGTAGATCTTGGCCAGATCGGTGTGGATGGTGACGATGTGGAGGAGGGTGTCGCGGTCGTTGTCCTGGTGCGACAGGGCCCCCGGGGCGTACTGTAATGGCATATTTAGCTCGTTATCTCTCTTTTCTCTCTCTCTCTCTCTCTCTCTCCACATACCTGCATACACTTGCAGGTCCAAGCCCAGGCGGAGTCCATATCCGAATCCGAGATCAGCGCGCGCAGCTTCTCCTTGGCGGCTCGTTGCCCCTCCTTACGTGGAGATCCACGATGGTTGTAAGGAGGAGTCAACGGAGCTGACACTCCACCACGAGGAGCACCAGGACTATTGTGTGGTGCGCTTCCGGCCGAGAGTGGCGAATCGTAGGCCGAGTCGGTGCTATCTGGGCGGTGCTTAAGCTCGTCTTCGTCGTGCTCCTTCTTCTCGGCGGCGGTGTATCTGGAAATTTAAATTTTTAGCCACTAAAAAACTGTGCACACCTGCGCGAGTACTTGAGGATGAAATCGGAGAGTGCGTCGGGGAGCTCATTGGAGTCGAGAAGACGGTTCAGATCTGCCGTGGTCATTGAATGGTCGGTGAATGGGGACTGACGAGGTGGAGATGACGAGTAGCCCATGTCGGATTGTACGGTGTCTGGGGTAGTGGAGCTGCTAAAAAGACAGTTTTTAAGTGTGAGCTTTTGCGCCGTAAGTACCTGATGTATCCAAGAGATTCGGGAGAGTCCTGCCAGCTCGATCCGCATTCATAACCGCCGCCGTAAGCCGAGTAGGCCGAGTAGTCTTCGACCTGGAAAAGTAGGTTGCGTGCGTGGCGGAGCACAACGTACTGTAGATTCCATCTTTATCAACAAAACGAGTCTTTAAAGAAGCGTAGCGTCTGTTAAGTTGATACTCGCTTCGTTATGCTGCGCGAAGTTGTGGAAAGCAGCTGAGTGTAGCGTACTCTCCGCGTTAGATTGGCCATTTTTACAGTTTACGGTGTTCAGGGAGCGTAACGTACAGGTTTCAAAACGCGCTTGCATATGTGGAAATGTCTATTTGCGAAAAAAGTAACAAATTTTCCAAAAAACGTACCACAGTCTGGGCAGCCGTTCCGTACGGGATACGGTACATGTACGGGTGGTGTCCATAGGCAGCGTGACCGCTGCGCACAGGTCCGCGAGCAAGAAGTTCGCCCTCCTCGCCCTCCTCGGTCTTTTCCTAGAAAAATTAGGTTTAAGGAGACGACTTCATCAATCTCACCTTCTTCTCCTCATCCTCCTCCTTATCATCAGTCTTCTTCTCATCGTCATCCTCCTTCTTCTTGTCCCCAACCGGCTCCTCGTTCTTTTCCTCCTCCTTCTTGACGTCCTTCTTGGCCTCCTTCTTCTCCTCCTTGTCCTCGCCCTTGTTCAGCAGGTCGGCAAAGAGTGCAGCGCCGCCACGCCCGAATTTCGAGGTGGTGTTGGTCTTCTTGGCGAGAGCCGAGGAGCGGATGCTCTGAAAGGGGAATATTGAATTTTTCGTAAACATTGATATGACTCGAATTTTCAATAGGATGGAAAGCAAAAAAATGTCGAAACCAACTTTTCATGACATTTCCAAGGCTTTCCTGGGCATTTTTTAATTGCATTAGGTTTTGAAATGCACCGATTAACCTATAAAACCGAAAATTCGTCCTGGCTATTCCAAGCGACCATTATTTAGTGCAGTACTATATTTTTGTGGATCGCAGAATAGCGGCATTTGGGTAGCATCTAGTATGTGCTCGTGGAAACAAAAAGCCATCTACGCCGGGTTGCCAAATCTACCCCTAACTTTTTGCACTTTCCGGACGACGCCTCTGAACAAAGTACATTCTCCGGCCCTCAAACACCCCCAGAAAACGACTTTTTTTAGCGAGAGAGAGAGCTACGAAACAATGGACTAAGTGATATTTTAATCGGAACGGAGGCTTTCGGCTTTTTGAATCGTGGAAAGATGCTAAATTATGCCAAAATTGCTAAACACATTTTTGAGATTATCGTCATGATTTAATGAAGTTTTAAGAGGCATGGTCTAAAAAATTGCTTTCAATTCAGTTCCTTTTCATTTCGATTTTTTCAGGCTTTTCGAAACCCTTACATTTCAAAAACCCCCACCCTCCGGCCGGCCGGTCAGCGACTTTTCAGCCCGGCGGGCCCCCCGGGCTCTATTTGCGTAGTTCGAGTCTCTTTCTCTCTCTCTCTCTCTCCCTCTTTTTCTCTCTCTCTCCGCCCGGCCAGCAAATTTTTCGATTGCAAAACACTCTGGGCCCTCAGGGCGCCCGGGGGGCCCCCCGATCACATGCCTTCACAAATAGAAGGGTGGAGGTGAGGGAACGGGTAGAAAGATAGGGAGAGAGAGAGAGAGAGAGAGAGAGAGAGAGAGAGAGCGTGAGAGATAGGGAGAGAAGGTAAAAGCTAAAGAAGAAAAATAACGCAACTGGCCGCCCCTTGGTTTTTCGAGTAGCCGCTAAAATTTATGAGGCTGGGTGGTGTTGCTTGGGAAGAAGCCCTGGTTTCCGATAGAGTACAGATTACGGACAAATCTTAGTATAAAAACAATGTATTTTTAAGCCATTTAGCAATGAAAAAAGCTGAAATTAGAGTTTTAAAAGCTCAGACACCCCGCTTTCGTTTTTGTCCTCCAGCGTTGCGAGAAACCCTAGTTTCCGAAAGTATGGCATTGATATGACCTCTTCCTACCTCGGATTACGGTAGCAGTAGGTTTTAATTTCCTGGGTCACCACCACCCACTACACAGGATTATCTATATCAAGTTCAGTGGAGTGGCGTGGAAAAACTGGGGGATTAGATGGCTAGTATAGTTTTCAGGAGGGGGCGTCGGATTTACGTGGGTTTGTAACGGATTTTTTGGGTAAAGGGCACGATCAAAAATAGTTAAAATTTTATGCCGGCAGTAAAAAAAAAGCTTCAAAATAGGCCTGAACCTTCCTATAAAATTGCAAGGTTTTAGAAGGTTTTATAACGAGTTCTTAAGTTGAGGTTTTGATCTTGTCTGGATTTTAGCTCCTCACAATCAGAATCACTAATCTACACCAAAAGCTTCTTTTCCACTTTTTAGTTTCCCAAAGGATCTCTACTGGGCTACCTAATATACAAAAATCATTATCCTCCACCCCCGAAAACCCGCCGTTGGTCCCGTTTTCCAGAATCGCCCCGCGCTTTCTGTAGAGGTACCGTGTGACACACAGCCCTGGGTGGCTCTCTCTCTCTCTCTCTCTCTCTCTCTCTGTCCCTATATTTGTCCGCAACCGCGTCCGCGACCGCACCGCGCGTCCGCAGCGCGCCGCTTTCGCACGAAAAAGAGGCACCCGCCGGCCGGTGGGATGGATTGGTGGGGGTGTTGTGTGTCGAGCGCGCGCGCCCGTTTCGGAGCGGACTGTACGCTCCGCTCCCCCCAGGTCCAGCCCGCTAAAAATAGCTCCCCTTCCCCTGAGCAAATCTCACACAAACATCGCCTGGGGCTTGGAGGCCCCGTTTTGGGAGTGGGAGGCAAATATGGGTGTTTTGGGGGGAATCGGACTGGACGCTGCGGGAACTTGTATTTTAAAGCGGGGTATTGAGATGGGCGACCAGATCCTGAGGTTTAAAGGAGCTCTAAAAGCTTAAAAAAAGTTCTATGAAGGTTACGGTATCTTTAAAAAGCCATGAAGGCAGCGTTTGTGTTTTGTGACTTTTCAAGGAGCTTGGGAGACGAAATCAAGATCGGCTTTTGAATTTTGTATGAGCATGAGCAGAATATTTCATATTTTAAAAGCACCCTAAAGCAATATCCACAAACCTGGAGCGTGACGTAGTCGGCCGGGGAAATGTTGTTGATCTCCTTGCGTTGCTGCTTCTTCTTCTCCTGGTCTTTGGCATCTGAAAGGGGCAGCATAGCATTTTTCCAAGATGTAGTCTGTATTCTTCCGGTCGTCAACCTACCATTGACAGAAAGCTGCTCGAGCTGAGCGGTCAGGTCGTCATCGTTGGCGGCCCTGGGGAGGGCGCATGGTACGGCACGGGCCACTAGGCACCCACCGTCCGGGTCTGCCATCACCTGGAAAATGGAGATGATCATGGTTTGGAAGAAATTTCAAAACATTAAGAAAAATATCAAAGCAAGAATATAAGCAAGAGAGACAGAGAGAGATAACGAGGGATGGCGAGGTGGAAAACGATCTATATAGCAGCAATATGACATCTAGAAGGAAACAAAAATTGAAAACACAAAGCTCAAAAGTTCAAAACCCGGCCCAAAAGTTTCACCATAGTTAAAAATATAAAGTTTCATCTGAGTCTCACTACTCTACCTCCCCAACCAATTTGCTCCCGACACGCCAATTTACCCCCCCGGAATAGTGATTACCTCTTGACTCCTAACCCCAAATCCAATCTCGGCATAAGCCTCCGCCGACCATAGAAATTGACTCTCTGCCCCCAAATTGCCGCACGCAGATCGGGTGGCATTTCTGGATGGCAACACGGAAAAACAGTGGCGTGTTTTGCTCATACTTTGCAGGGGAGGGGTCAACAGCAGATTATTAAAAGGTATGGAAAATATTTATGAGAGAGGAGAGGCGGGGTGAGAGAGGCAGAGCGAGAGAGAAAATTGTTTTAATGAAGTTTCAGGACCCGGAAGGGGGAGCAATTTGTAAAAACACACGATGGAAACCGTAATTAGAGTCCCAGCGGCCCCTTGGAAAGCGGCCAGATTCGTGGAACGTTGTTTCGGAAAATTAGAGTAAGAGATGTTCAAAGTCCGTGAGAGAGTACGTGGGATTTTGTAGGTTTACTGTAGCTGTGGTGAAAAATAAAAAACGAATCGTATTTTGTAGAATGGAATCGAGCAAGTCAGCGAAAACCTAGCTTCCTGTTTACGAAAATTCGGGCCACAAATACAGAGATCGGGTAGACGGTTATTTTTTGACCTTTCGTGTTTTTGGGAATGGGACAGCAAGATAACAAAAGTATTCGATATTAAATTTATTTTGAAGATTCCAGATAGCGACTTATTAAGTTAGAACTTCAAAACAATCACAGGCTACGTACATCCGACGAAAAAAACGGATAAATCAGCATAAAAAAAAAATCGAAAAATTCGTAGTCGTCAAAAAGTTGGTAACAGAAACTTCCTAGATACCCCAGATGCACCCTGTAGATGCTTTAAGTGCGAAAAAGCTTATATCTCTTTAAGGCTTCAATCAGGATCTTCCTCAATACAACAGGTACAGTTTTTTGAAGGACGTCAAGTGCCAAAACGTGCCAATACGGACTCGAAAGTGGCTAAAGCTACGTGGAACTCCTATGGACAGCGCTCAAGACCTCAAAATCCTTTCAAAATGACACGCTTTGGCACAGCAGGTACACTTTCTAAGGAACTACAGGCACCAAAACTTGCCGTATCGTGTTCTTTATCCCGTGTGACTACGCAGAGCTTTTATGCACAAGAGGGAGAGATGAACGTCCCAGTAAGATACGATCTGACCCACAAGGTACATTTTCTAAGGAATTTAAGGTACAGCAATGTGCGAAATCGTGTTCCAAATCTCCGCGGAGCTACGCGGAACTACTCTGAACATCTCGCCCCCGAATCACACCTTTAATCCCACCGGGAATGTGAATCAGTGTTCGGCGAATTCGGCGAACGGTTTGCAAAAAATAGATCTTAGAAAGGTTTCAAGGTACGTGCCAGTCCTAACTAAGAAGCCATCTGACCCCAGCCCCCGGCTTCCCCAGCTAAATATGGACCCTAAACCTGCGTGGGCTATTTCGCGAATACGCCAAATCACGAACCGGAAAATGCCCTTTCAAAAGCGGAACCAAACGGTCATCCGCGAGCTCGACAATTCGCCGGGGGTAAAAATTAAAAATATTGGGGCGGCAAGTGCGTCGTCGCCGCGGCGGGGGCAGTTTTGGGCGAGTGAACATCGTCACAAGGGATCCCCGGGAGGGCGAGAGAGTGGGGAGGGTAGAGAGAGACTAGAGGGGCTGAGAAAAGGAGAGGTTGGGGGAAAATTGAGACTCTCGACTGGCAGTGGCCCAGCGAGAAAACAGCTGAGGACGGGGATGGGGTGTAGAGAAATTCGAGGGATTGGACGAGAGATTATGGGGGCGAGACTTATCAAAGAGGCGGAGGGGGGATTGAAATGGTTCGTTTGGATGAATCGCAACGGAGAAATAGTAGTATGATATTAAATACGTTCTGGATCAAGAAAGATGACAATTCGTGTGGATCTACGGTGTAAGAAAATGTGTTTCCTGATTCCTTGAAACCGTGAAAAGTCCGAAAGAACGATAGAAGGTAAGCGAAAAAGAACGAGAGAGGGAAATAGCAAGAGTGAAAACATCACGAGCGACAGAATCCAAGAGAGTGCGAGAGAGGAAGATAGAGGGCGAGATAGAGAGAGAGTGTGTGTGAGAGAGAGAAAACTTGATGACGCTACTAATCGAGGAATTCAAATTCCACAGGCTTGCCGACTTGATTTAAAGGTGGCCGCACACACCCGGCCAAATTCAACGGAAATGCCAAATAGAATAAATAAATTCGAACCAAGAAATTATACAGTGCATTATAAAACTTTTAAAAACCAGACTTCGAGGCAAACGAATTATATGCATACAAAAACAAACGCGGAAAATAAATCGAAACCAGGAACGAAAATATGAGCCTTAACTTGTTCACCGCTCGCGTTAAAGCGTTGCCAGAAAGTACACTTTTTGCTAACTACTGACGATCGAAAACAGCTGCTTTAGAATTTCTGAAAATGCCAAGAAAGCGTCAGGACGCAACAAGGAACTACCACAAAAACAAACTCCCCGTTCACACGGGATCAGTGAACTATCGACCCCACAAGCCACCATCAAAGGGGCCCAATCCAGGCATGGGGTGTTTGGGGGTGCGCGTGTTTTGAGGGGCGTCAAAACCAGAGTCGAATTCCGAAAGCAAAAGAAGGAGAAAAGGAAATATTGGGCTCCAACAAGAAAAAGAGTGGCGAAAAGGACAACCGCCCCGGCCGATCTGGGGAGCCGATGGGAGGGAGAGAGGGATTGAAATGGGTGGTGAGGCGAGAGAAACGGGGCAAGGTGAGAGAGAGCCGTTTAGAAAACGGGGTGGAGGAAAGGCGGGGGGGTGTCGTGGAATCGGGAGAAGGTGGTGAACCTGGAGGCGACAGAGAAAATGGCTTGAAAAAAGGCAGTGAAAAATTTGAGAGACGCAGAGAGAAAGGTCGAGAAAATGAGAGAGACAGAGAGAGATAGAGAGCACGGGGCTAAGGGGGCGATATTTAGAAAACGGCTTGGTAAAGGGGAGAGAGAGAGAGTGAGAGAGAGAGAAAGTAAGAAAGAGAGAGGGAGAGAGAGAGAGAGAGAGAGAGAGAGAGAGAGAGAGTGAGGCTCTTAGCAGGAGAGGGAGTAGATGAACAAACTAGGCGACAGAGCGAGCGAGACCTAGAGAATCCAAAGAAAAACAGGGCGAGATAGCGCCGTTTAGAATCGGATACCTAAAGAATCCGCAAGGCAAGAATTCAAGAGAACGGAAAGAAAAAGAGATACCTTCCATCCCGATGAGAGGAGCGAGACGCAGACAACATCCCCTGAAAAAGAACCGAGCCCCGTGCAGAGAAAACAAGAATTAGAGCGCCTGGGGAAAAAGAGCGGGGGACGGCGCGGGCGCCCGCCCGGCCGTCGCCGCCGTGGCTAGTTCCTGGTCGATTTGTCCGGGGCGAGAGTGCACGGGAACGGGGGAGAGCCCAGAAATTCAGAGGGCTTCTCTCCTGTTGATGGCTAAAAAATGCCCCAGGCCCTCTCGCCGCTCCCGGGGCGGCGCTCCACAAGTATTTTCTACGGGGGGGGGGGGCTTCTTTGCCTGGGTGAGGTGATGGGGGTTGCCCTGGGGCTACTAACACCGAGAGCTGTGTGGAATGGAAATTGGGAAGTGGCGTACTAATGAAGGCAGAGAGCTAGAGAGTGAGAGAGAGAGAGAGAGAGAGAGAGAGAGAGGTGCAAGAACTTGCTCGTGCTCATCAGGCCGAAGTCTTTTGACTATTTACGATGGCCGACGAAACGAGCAGCTAGCGTAGCGAGAAGAAGAGAGTGAGTTAGAGCGAGAAAAAGAGTGAAAGATAGGACGAAAATAAACCTGTAACCGCAATAACGCCTCCACCGTGTCCTGTGACTACCTTTAACCACAAAAAAACACAGCAAACCCACCGAATTTCTCACGGATTTTTGCGGAAGAGCCAGTGTCGGGTGATAAGCCCGGCCTTTTCAGAGACTGCCAGAAACAGTTCCGAGTTGTGGCACGGAAAATCCGAAAAGAGACGATGTGGAACTCTCACGAAGAAATGGAAACTGGTTTAGCAAAAAAACTAGTTTATCAACTAGGTAACCAGCTCAGCCTAAACAAAGCCTGAGGCTAAGCCTAAGCCTAAGCCTAACCTGAGCCTAAGCCTAGGCCTAAACCCAAGCTTAAGCCTAACAAAAAAGCCTAAAGCCTGGGCCGAGCGTAAGCATAACCCAAGACCAAGTCTAGGTCCATGTTCTCGAAGCCGATCGAAAAATCGATATCCCAAAGAATTAGATCCCCGTGGGATCCGAAAATCAGGACAGCAAAAATCTCACTTCCCGCCCCGTTCCCACAGCACGTATTCACGGGGGTCCGGGTGGCGGTGTGGTGTGCAAGATTCAGTACGGATGGCTCCACGAATAGCCAATCCGATTCTCCGGCCCAGCAGCAGCCAGCCGTTCAGGAAGTAGAACGCACGGCTGGGATGAGGCTCAAGCTCGGAGATCGGGTGACAAAGCTAGGTGGCCGGGAGATCGGCTAGATCGGATCAGCCAAGGACACGCACAAACCGCTGGGATGGGAAGTTTGGATTTTGGTGGACATTGGAAAGGACCGGAATGTGGGAAAGCACAGGCCTAAGCCAAGCCTAGGCTAAGCCTAAGCCCGAGCTAAGCATAAGCCTAAGCTAAGCCCAAGCCTAAGTATAACAAAAGTCGCCAATTTTATAATTAGATTCCCACTGAGACCTGTAGAAAAAGTTCCGAGAAACC